TCAGTGCTCATTGACCAGGGCTGGGAAAGCATCCTTACAGGTTGGACACCTTCACTGCACCTTCCCCAGGGCAAATCTCACAATGTCCAGAATGGGGCTGATACTCACACTCCATGATCTGAAACTTCACAACCAGAGAGCTTTCACATTCCTGCAGAGCTTCAACAAAATCCCTCATCAGAATGGAAGTAGTGCAAAAAGTAGCTGCACCATAAAGAATGAAGAATTTAAAAATATTTTCAATATGCAGATGCCTTGCCAAAAGCACAGTAAAGAGCCCACCGTGAATACATAACAGAAATAAAAAAATGTTTGCTCATTTCTAAATTTCCTGGAGTTTGCTTAATGTCAGCAGCCCCATTTAAGAGCAGAAACGTAAAACCCTGTGACAGTTCTTGAACCCCCAACCCCGATCAGCAGTTACCAGCTTGGCCAGGACTGCTTTTGAAATCATTCCATCTGTCAGCCTGCATCTTGTTACAGACAGGGCAACTGATGCAATCCTATGAATCCTCTTTTTTCCCCTATACATTTTTAACTCTCTCGTGCCAGCAGTTATTTTACTCTCACAAGAACGTGAACCAGGGCTGCTCTGTTTCTTGAGGAACATTTGGGGAACAAGGTTTTCATCTAGTTTTTGTTTGAACTAGTAAATATTTAGGAGAACAAGAAGATAGTTTTTATGTGAAACATGTTTTCACATCCTTGAAACAGTGAGGCAGCAAGGAAGGGACTGAAAAACAGCCTGCCATTTCCTTTTCTCCCTGTGTTTTGGACTGCTGTTGACCCAGCATCTGTGCGCATGCACGCTCAGCCCCTTGGGCTGCTCCTTTACACCGTGACTTCCTTGTAAAATCCAACTCATCTGTTCGAAGCAATGACTGAAACACTGTCTATAAAATTATGGCATTTTTCCACTTGAAAAAAAAAATTAACACTTCATTTAAAAGTTATTTTTAAACCTAGTTGGCCTGAAACCAATTTTAGTCATAACTGAAGTGGATTCTTCTTTTCCTAGACTTCAATGCCTTCCTTTTCTAAAATACACTAGTTAAAAAAAGTAAACCCAGTAAATGCAGAGTTTACACTTCTGTCTACACTGCTTTGCCCTCTGACTTATCAGCAGTTTGCTTTTCAACAAACCCAAACAAGTCTTTATTTTTTCTAGTTTAGGAACTTCTCCCAAACACAGACTTGAGCAATCCCAGAGCAGAACCACTCACTTCCAGTTTGAATCTGGCTGGGGCACTGGCAGAGCATCATCACAGCCAGTAACTGGCTGAGTCAGAGTTTATGTCTGGGAGATAATTGAAGCCCCTTCAGAAACATGGCTGAATTTGGAAAAGAAAGCAACAGAGCTTTATTCCAATGCAAGACACTGATGGATTCTGGCACTACACCTGCATTTACATGGCAATAGCCAAGCATGATATCCATGAACTGAGAGCAATGTTGTCATATATGTAGGTAGAATAGGAGTACCCTGACTTCACCACATTCCCATTTTCCAGGACTGTCTCAAGAGACAGTAGGACATCTGGACTCCTTAATGAAGTAGCTGATCTGGAATCTGGGTTTAGTAAAACTAACTCCCCTTAAAGAAAAAAAAGAGAGAAAAAGAATGGCTTCAATCTAACCGATTAACATGTCACCAAGACGTATTTTAAGGAATAACAGGCAAACTGACTTGACAGGAAGAGTATTTTCCTTCTCTTTCCAAAAGGGACTCTGTTTTTCCTAAGAGAAAATTCAGACTAAATTACACTGACTTTATATTCAGTGAGCAATTTAATGTGCAGCATTGTCTGCACTGTGACAACTCCTCTGAGATGTGAACATAGGACTTATGTACTTCAGTTCTGCACATTCTGCAAAGGGTATCAGCAAGCACAGCAATGCAAAATAATTAGAAGGCAAGAAATTCATAGGGACTTTACCCATAAAAAGTAATTTAAAGAGATTTTCATTTTCCAAGTTGAAGTTCCTCAAGTCTGAGCTCAGCATTTAAGTGTTTGATCCTTCAAATCAAGCAGAAATGATTCGCTAACCCAGGACTTAATGATGCCAAAGAAAAGGTAACCTTTTATATTAAAAAGTGGCATTTTGGGGTTTTGATTTTTTGTTGTTGTTGCTACTGTTTTATTGCTTGAGTGCCAAGAGATTTGGAATCAAAATTTCCTAAAGACACAGCATCCACCTAATCTTTTAACCTAACAAGGTTAGAAGCTCACTGAAGATAGACTTCATGAGAATGGTACAGGTTGAGATGCTGTTTTCAAACAGCAGCATCTGGAGGGCTGTTTTGAGGGGATTCATGATTTTTTTTGATAAATAAGGGTGAAGAAGATGCACAGGGGAAGCAGCAAATCCACAGTGGTGTCTTAAGACAGTCAGAAGCTCTCAGCTCCTCTGTCTCCAGTACTGGACTGAAGCTACAATGCCCTGCATAACTCTGGGCAATTCTGCCCTCTTCCCTTGCACAAGGCTGTGGAGTTCAGTGTTAATATTAGTGAGATGTGGCTTGCCAACATGTGCTTGCTGAATGAGGTAGGTCTCCATTACCTCATTCGACATGACCCTTTACAGATTTTATCCAACAAAGCTTTTGAAGATATATTTATCTTTAACCATGTGAGAAATCTCACAGTGATGATTGTGCAACAATAAAATGTAAAAATAAAAATTATTATTAGTCTGCTGATGATTATAAACCCTCTTCACTTCCCTTCCTCCCCTTTTTCTTAGGGACTCATTACTCCAATGTTTATTTTTACTTTTGTAAATCCAAGAGTGCAAAGCTAAAGGCAGAAGTATAAAAGCAGCCACAGTCTGAATGGATGGGTGAGTACAGGATCTTGACATCTGTACATAGGACAGGATGCACAGTATGAATGCCCCACTGGGCAGCACCAGGAGGAGGGTTACAGCTCTGGTAGCACCCCAGAAATCTGTACCAGGACAGTCTGGAAGGATTATGCAGCTTTGTAGCATAAAGTTGCATAAGAAGCTGTGAGAAACCATCATCAACCTCAATCAGCCATTCCTCTCTTCTCCTGACCCGTTCTCAAAAACTGTCTGGCCACCTCTCAGGTTTACCCATGTCATTTTCCATGCCACCAGTGCAGAAGAAGACTGTGGGATTTGAGCCTCCACAGGCAGCTGCAGGTTAGTTCAATCTGTCTAATTGGGATATGTAACCTCCAGACTCCAGCATGAATGATCTCTGTGAAAGAGAAGGGCGGGGGATGCACAGATGAAGATACAAGAATCCTTACAAGGAAGGAACTGGGTCAAAGAGAAGGATCAGGATGGTTTCCTGGAGATTTCTTTTGGAGTTACCTTCTGGTTGACAGCCTGGGCCAGAGGGAGAATCTCTCTGAACCTACAGCAAGAAATCCCTTTCCTCAGAGTGAAAGAAGAGCCAAGAGCTCTCCAATCCTCACATCTCACAGGTTTGTCCTATACCTGCTTACGGGTATCCTGTCTTATGCCAGCAGCTAATTCTGTCAGATGCAACAGGTTCCTGACCTCCCAGGGGTGCCCCATAGCTCAGGGCTCTGGAGAACAAAGCTGGTCCGAACAACTCCCGACCTCCAGACTCGGTGTCTGCCAGCCCCAAGAGCTCTCCAGCGTCCCATCCATCCCCATTTCCCTTGACAGAGCATCTACAGTCCAACCTCCCTCCTCTGAGATCAGACCAGCATCCACTGCAGCAGCAAAGCCTTAAGTCAGCATGTCGTAAAGAAACATTATAAACACTGCCTTGACATTTTAGTGTACACAGTTAACATTTACATTTCACACCACCTCCTATGTGAAGTCCCTCTATCCATGCCATCAATACACCAATTCTCTTAACCCCTCCCCATCCAATACTAAGAGCCCCTTTTCCCTGGAAGGCCAACAAAAAAGAATATTTTTGGTGCTTCTGAGCCCAGCCACTGTGGAGACAGACGTGGTCAAAAACTGGTTAAAAATGCAAAAATTAAAAGCAGACAGAAATTACCAACCTTTAGAACATTTAAAACCCACCTGGGTCTTTCCCAAATACCCCAAAAATGCTTCCAGCTTACAATGAGATGCTATAGGCAATATTTCAAAGGCTACTTTCAACATTTGCTGTGAAGCATCTTTTGATGCTCCAGATTCATCTTGCTATGAGTTAATATACCAAAAGAGGAAAGAGGGGGGGGAAAAAAGGCACAAAAGCTGTATAACTCCTTTCTGAGGTATGACAAACTCTCTCTGCATCTTATTCCAAAGTGTGAGATGTGCAATTTCCATTCTTAACCTCAGTAAAAATGGCGTAAAAAATCCTGGGAACCACAGTATTATTCGTTTATCAGATCAACATCAGCAAAACTGTCTTTTTATGTGCTGCTTACTTTCAAAAAAACCCCTACCATGCATATTTCAGTTCTCCCTCTCCACACCCCACACCCTTCTGCTGCTGTCCAGCTGGAACACATCAAGGGTCTAGAAGCCAAGTCAAATGTTGACCCCACCCTCCTCCATCCATTTTAAGGCACCTTCAAAGCCAGTACACTGATCTAGTTCAGCTTAGCCAACAACACCAGCAAATCTGTTATTTAAGACTTTAGTGCTGGGTTTTTATAACTGCCCATTAATACAAGCTTTGATGTATGGTCAAAAAACCCAGCTGTAATGAGTTTCACCAGACTGTAGTAACCTTTCCTCAGAAGGTCTTTATTACTATACCTTCATAATCTTTGGGCCCAACACTTTTATAGTATCATTCTTACTGAACCCCCTTAAAAAGCAACACTCAGCAACACTTAATACTTTTCCTTCCCCAAAATTAAAACAAAGAGCCCGTAATAATTTTTGTAGAAGATGCTTTTGCACTCCCATTTTTCATAGCAGTTTGCTGTTAAGAGCATGCAGGTAATAGCTGTGTGAACCACAAGACAAACCAATTTTCATGCCAAAACCCTTGTGACAGGATACAGAAGTAGTTTGTAAAAGGACAAACAACTTACTTTGTTGCTCCCCTTTGCAGGATGCAGCAAGGAGGAAAGAGGGGGAAAAAAGAAATATTAGATACATTTATTTTACATGCATTCAGCCTAACTTGTACAGTTCTGGAAATGGCTCAAACCAAACGGGGAACTGACTCAGGGAACATTCACTGAATCCCGTAGTTAGAGAGCTTCCAGGGGAACACCGGACATTTGCAAGGGATTCAAAACATTCAAAATGTTTTCCTCTCCACATAAACATTCTGATCCCACTTTTGCTTCCTTCAGTGTCAGTCAGAACAGCGCCTGGGAAGTCAGTGGACACTAATATGAGAAAGAAGAAAACGAGGCCTGAAGCGATCTAGGGATGGGATGGAAGCCAAAGGGATTTTCGTGTGTTGGTAATACTGAGCTTCCAGTATGCAAAGCAACCCACTAAACATGTCTGCTGAGCCCTGCATGACGGCCACTCCCTACAACTTGCCAATGAATGGAAAGTTTCATGATCCAAAGCTTTTTAAAATGCAAATATTGAACTTTTAGATTAGTAATAAAAAATAAGGAGGAGATGGCATTATGGGAGGGGGGAAGGAGGAATGGACAGTGCTAGCAAGGTAGAGTGCGCAGAGCAAGTTACGACAAACATCTGTGCTATTATTTTAGTTTAATTGTGAGTTTTGCCATGAACTGGCATGAACAGTGTATATTTTACAGTGGGAAGCCAGCCAAAATAAACACCAGCCTACAGTTGAGAAATAGAGTCTGGAAAGGTTAGTCACAAAGTTGTAGTCATTTAAAAAAAAAAAAAAAAAAAAAAAAAAAGGAGGGTTTTGGATGCATCAGTCCAGAAAGCCTGCAGTAAAGTCAGCTGGTAAATGGATATCCTGTTTCAAAGTGAATTGGCCACAGTGTGATTTATATCAAGAAAGCTGACTTGCATATGGGTTGGAAAAATAAAAACACTGATTCATTGCTATCCGGGTGGCTGTCAAAGCCCACGTCCTGACAAAAGTAAATCGACTGTGGCAAGGAGAGGTGACTTGGCAAACTGCAAAAGAATTCAGGGGCTCATGGAGCAACACTAAGGGGTGATCAGAGATAGTCAGCAAGAGAGTGAATATATGAACGTGAGTGTGCATCACTGTGTGCACAGGCAAAATTAAGCAAGGAAAAGAGCAAAGGGGTGATATATATCCTTTAATATATTAATGAGATTTGTTTAGGTAAAAATAAAAATTATACATCTACAAGCCTGGACTTAGCTTACAGGATTAAACTAGCAGCTGAGACACCGTATCAGTGGCAGCAAGTACTGAGCCCCATTACCACTGCAATCAATGCAGTGCTACTAAAAAAGAAAATTAACAAAAAACAACAGAAAAATGAATATTCTTAGCTGAGAGATTTGCCCTTGGTGAGAATTTAGAACAAGTCTCTCTAATTCAGTGACAAATTCCTGCTTTTCTTGCCACTGCAGAAGGAACCCAGCTAGGGGCAATGGCTGTGGGTTTTACACCAGGTCCTTGCGGACGAGCAGCAGAGCTGCCAATGAAAGCATCCAGCTCCACTTTCCCGTTCCCGGCTGCGCACACGCTCCGGCAGCTCCAGGGAGCAGGCCAGCCCACGCTGCAGCGCTCCAGCTCCACAGCAATACCCACCTATTTTTCATTTCTAAGCAGCAATTTTTCTACTGCTGGTGCCAAAGCCTCAGATGCTCAGAAGTTCCCAGCTGTGCCTCGCACATGAGAAGGTCAGTCTGGGAAGGGGCTTGGGCACCTCTTTGCCTTTTTACCTCTGGGATCACAAAGCTGTGGGGAAGCACTGGAGTAAAAAGTTGCTGCCATTTCCTGGCAGTCTCTCATACTTAAAAACACAGTCTCTAAATCTTTGAAGGAGAATAAAAGACTGAGGGGTGTCTTTAAACCTTTTTTGTATTATCAGAGGAAGGTGTGAAGCTGAGGAGCATGCACAGAACTTGAATGAAATGCTGCTCATTTTTATTTAGGTTCCACTGGAGCTTCTAAGGTACCTAGGGCCTTTTAGATTCTGCTTTGCAAAATTCAAAACTCTAACTGCAGACTCACAGTCCACATTTGGACCTCTAGTCCTGTAGGAATAAAGCTCTGGAAGACTAGAGTAGCATCTTTCCTGAAGAGCTTGATAGACTACTTAGTGAATTTCAAACTACAGGGGTTTGGAACAATAATATTCACTCTTTTTATAATGTAAAGATAATTCCAGCTCAAAGGAGAACTTTATTTTGACTTCTTTCTACTTCTGTCTTTCAAGGAAGTCTCTCATCTTGCATCTAAGACTCCTTTGACAGACCAACTTTAAACAAAACCAAGAATTCTTTGTAAACATATTTTGAATACCAAGTATTTTTAGGGGAAAGGGAGAGACAGGAAGACAGAAGTGTAGAAATCCAACTAGTCTATCTTATTTAAGGATAAAGTAACAAATACATGCATTACGATACAACCATCACAGAATACAAGATTAAACCAGAGGCAGCAACAGGCTTTTTGACGTCATCATTAAAACTTGAGTAAGAAAAACCCCAAACAATACAGTATTTTGTTCCGAGTAATTAATTAGGTAACTTCTCACAACCAATCCTTGAAAAATGACTTCTGATGGTCTTAGGTAGGAACCAATCTACTGGAACAGGCAACATACTGAAAAGTCTACAATTTTTTAAAATTTTTTTAAAGGTTTCAGATACCTGGTACGTCTCCTGCTAAATGAGTATTTTCACTACTCCTTAAAAAAAATAAATCCATCATAATCAATGTTTATTTCTATAATAATTGGAGAAGCCAGCAGTTCAAGGATTTCTTATTTATCTTCTGATGGTACCCATGAAATCTGGTATGAAGAGAGGAAGCTGAGGCTTGTTTACTTAAATAGCAGCAGGAGGAGATACAGACAGAACTGTACTGGAAGCCATGCAGGCATCACAAGTATAAAGGAAATATGAGGAAGAGAAAGATGAACAGAGAAGACAGCAGAAGACCTTGAACACAAGGGACCATGGAAAACAACTAGGAAGAAGGACAAATTCCATCAGAATCAAAGTATCATTTCTCAGAAATCTTCCACTAGAGGAATCCAGCAGAGCAGCAGCCTCACGGCAGAAAGGTGAACTGTGCAATAGAGAAACTCCAAAAGCTCAAATGACAGGATTTTCCTGTTAGTCAGTCTTCCCTCTGGACACATCTCCTCAAACCTTCACTTGATGTAAAGTATCAAGAAATCTAGGTCCAAAAAATATGAAATGGTAGCTGGACATGTTCCATTTCCCAACTTTCTGTCATTTCTGGTGAATTAATAGAGGCTTTTTACTGTATCCTGTTCAATTTGCTTCACATGATGATTAGCTGAGTAAAACAGCCCTTGGAAAGGTTTAGCATGTGTTTCATACACAAAAAACATGCAGCGAATCAGTAAAATAAATATACATGATTGCCTGGAATGCTTCTGTCAGTTCTGTAATACAGAGCTTGGGGGAATAAACTCTTCAAAGCACATCTTTACCTCTAGAAAACATTAATAGAAACAATGAAGCTCAGGAAACCCCAAATTGCTCAATGCTTTTACTACACAGATCCAATGAAAAACATGTTGGAAGGTTTGGTTTGTGGTTGCTTTTTTTTTCCTGCATTGAGGTTTGACGCACAAATTGATCTTAAAATATTTCATTATGAATATTTCGCAATTGCCACAGACCAGTACAATGAAAAGGCTGCCCTTTCTTGAGATATCTGCAGACACTGTGTTTTCCCAGATGATACAATTGTGTTTTCTGACTCAAAGAGAGCAGCTACCGGCAAACTAGTGAGCTGTTTAACTTACTGAGGATTTATCAGGATAGACACCGGCTCGTAGCAGAGATGCCTTCCAGCTATCCACCTCCTCTTGGGAGTCACAGGCTAGCTCAAGGAAACGGTAATCCTTGTAAACATTCCTAGAACAAAGAGCACCACATTGTAAAACTAGCATTTTACTACTCTGTATCATGCACACAGCATTTTAAATTAAAAATCCTTTGGGATCAGAAATTACTTGGTAATTGTTTTGGACAGCAGAGTTTATGAGACAGGTGCTTGTTTCATAATTACATGGAGTACTTAAAAATATCTTAGAACACTACAGCACAGCTCTGGAAATAATAATCATCTAAAAGCACCATGAAACTACTTAAAATCAATTTTCCTGCTTTTGCCAAAGCAGAGCATTTTTAGGGAAAAAAGGCTGTTGTGATGCAAAGGACAAACACATTAAACATGCCAAAATAACTGCACAGCTTGGGACAGATTGTTGCTGTAACCAATAAATACCAAAATAATTACTGATACAACTTGTTCCCATGTTAAGTCCTTTGAGTGCATTATGTGCCCTTTTTAGCTTTTGGACATCATTAGTAAAAGAGAGAAAAAAAAAGTAATGATAATCAGATATTTTAAACAAACAAAACAAACTTCTGATGTCTGTCATCATAGTAAGAAAACTGGGACACATTTAAATAATACCTCTAGCAGGTAATTCAGATAATGAGATAAATACAAGGAATCACTTAATGGAAGAAAAGAGGAAAAATACATATACAGCAAGGTGGTACTTGAAAATTCTCCAATAAACAGAACAGATTTTCCCCTTACGGTTTAGCCATTAGTTTCTGAATTCAAATTCTATACACAGACCTGATCACCGTAAATTTGTCAGCCAACAGTCCTTTTAGGAAAGGCTACAAGCTTAGCTGACAAAGGTTAGGAAACCACATTTTGCTGGATCTTAAAAGTTGCACAAGAGTCAACCTTCCATTAAAACCAGACTGTTTTCTTCCCTTAGCAAACTATGGAGGAGAGGGTTGGTGGAGATCACTTCACTCTCAAAGACAGCAATGACAAGGGGATGCAACTACAGAGGTCATTTTTGCCACATATTTTGAGGGGCAAAGAAACTGAATATGCATAGAACCAGGAAATAAAGCTATTATTGTCACTGCCTAGACAAATTTCTTTAGCATTTGGGGACTGGTGGGATTTCACCGTCACACTGCTGGAACACAACCGAGTTGATGTAATTCCCACTCACAGAAGTGCTTCTCCCTTACCAACAATGTCACCAGGCAGCTCATAGCCTTGCTTTTTAGAGGGAGTTTCAGGAAACAGGTAAAAAAAGTGTAATTGAATCTGAGCACGAACCAGCCATGACACCTAATCATTAAATTATCAGCCATGAAACCACAGTACAGCAGCCAGAGCACACCCACCTCTGAAGAGAGGGACATCAGGTATTTTTAGCAGGCTTATAAATTGCATTCAAAACTGCAAAACAATAAAGGACATACTCAGATTTCCATATGTTGGTGATGTAATTCTCACCAATTTCAATGGCTAAATCTGAGCAGTCAGCACCAGGCTCGCACTACTGCCTTCAAGAATCCGGATTGGAGATGCCACCGGAGCAGGTTTCAGTGCTGGTCAGAGGAGCACACCTGCACTTCCTTCCCAGAGAAAACAGCCCACAAGGTCACAAAGAGACATTAAAGGGTCAGATCCCATAGTTTAGGCAAAGCCACTGACTGTATGAACGAGTGAAAGCTCTGTGGATTTTTTTTTATTGATTAAGAAATTTAAAATTAATCCTTTTTCTTCCCTGACTCCGAAAGTACTAATCCTGCCTTAACGCAAATAATAGCCTGGATGACCTCCTCAGATGCTGTTACCTTAAAGAGATGACAAAACACCCAAATTTTATTCAATTTGCAATATTGTGAAATTCTGAGTCAACATTTACTGAACAAAACAAAGAACTCAATTATAAAAAAAAAAAAAGACAGAAGCATAATGAAATTGCCAGAAAAGAAAATGCTTTAATTTATTGTTAGGAGAAGCTTGTACTGAGATAAGCTTTTTGGCTAAGTTAATGAAGCAGCTATAACTCTGAAAAAATAGGAAGCTGAAATGGTGAAATGGTACTCTCAGAAAAGATGACTAAAAATAACAATAGAGCAAATAAAGGCTGTAAAACATAGTGATAGGGAAGTTCCAAAAACACTTATCTGCAAGAGCAAAACAACATGACACCAGCTTGTAAAAACATTTTTTCAGGACTGTCATGTCATATATTATACTTTTTGGCATTTTGTGACTTGCTACAACAAACGTAGCTGTACGAGCAGGGATTTTAGGCAACCGCTTCGTACACGAGGAGCTGACAGTCCTGCATTCCTGCCTGTGTATCAAGACTTTCCCTGGGTCTAGAGACACCTCATGGCCAAGCAGCTGATGCCTCCAGCTCCCTAAGGCCCTTCTCCCTGTAGTATCCGAGAGCTCCACCATTTTAGTGGAGCTAATTCTACTCCACTGCCACAGACATGACTTTCAGCACATGAGAGGAACTGCGGGGTGCACGCCCTGAGCCAGAACTCACAGGAATCTTACAGTAAGGGATGCTTGCCTCCCTAAGTAGGTTCCTTGCTACTAGACTTCCTCTGCCATTCTTTCTTCCAGAAAGGCTGATAGGCACAGGAACATTTCAAATTAAAAAAAAAAGCCAAAGTAACTTCTGAAAAAAGTGTGTCCTTTTTCTGTTACCAGCGGAATCTTACAAAAACACATTAACATGTTTTACTCATCAGGAATCCACTGGCATCTCATGGAAAGCTGTAAAAACGTTCTTGAAAACAATTCAGATTTTCTGTTTTCTTCTCTCTCCCACTTCTTAAAATTGCTGAAGATATCAGCACAGAAACAGTTACTACTCAGTCCTCACCTACCTACTCCATATGGAATACTGTGAAGTCATGTTCTCATTGTCATCTCTATAGCAGCTAAATGGGATGTTATACATCAAAGAGAATGATAGAACACAGCATACCAGAAACCAAAAGGATGAGCTCTCAGCAGTACAAATCTTATTGATATTTATAACCTAAGGGACTTCAGAAACAAAACAGATACAATAAATGGGAACATGCCTAGAAGTATTATTTCTGTGTAATATTTCCCTTGAATATTTAACATTTTTTAAACGTGAACACAGAAATGGGAAAACTGTGCAAAGTTATATGCATATACCACATCGACCTACCACTTCCTCCTGTAGAGTCTCACCATTGTAATTTAATATCATGCATAATACATGAAAATATATCTATAGTGGCACTACTGGAAACCAACATAATATTGCATTTTCCAGAGCGAAAAATACAAAAGGTTACCATTTGTTATCTGCAGATTTTATTGTACTCTAGATAAATAAACCTCAACTTGAAACTGCATTCCAGAAAAAATACAACACAATTGCTTATGGAGATGAACAGACAGTTGGACTAAAAGCATCAATTCCGATTCCGGAACAGTTCCACACTCAGGACATGCCTTCTCTAGGCCAAGCCCATTACTTCAAAGTCCAGCAGACCCCCAGCTGTAACTTTGCTTACCCTACAACTTCTTCACTTTATTAAGACCTTGGTTTCCAGTAGACTGAATTCCTTTCCCCCACATGTTTCAGGGCCTTGCAGAAAGGACCTTTACATTGTCCATAGGTATTTCTTTAACTCCTCCTATCACAAAAGAATCCTAACAGGACAGGAATAAGGTATTTGAAAGTGCACAAGAGGAAACAGAGAAATACCAGATAAGTTTGAAGACTGAGCCCAGCTGCAAGTGACTGTTCTACCAGTCCTGAAGCCTGGGCTGTCAGCATTGCACAGAAAAGACTTGATTGCCTATAAACCAGCAGACTTATACAATCCAGGACCAATAAGTGAATGACACACAACTGAAAATTTCTAGTTGCCACAGTGGAGGCAATTGCAGTGGGTTTCCCTCTACAGTGGTTGCATATCAGAACTGCTGCTCTCTGAGCACACATAAAGATGGATTGTATGTATCTCTTGTAATTTCTTACTACTAAGATAAAGTTAAACAGTTATCTCCAACAAGCCTGCAAAGATTTTAAGGGCAACCACTGCAGGCACATTACAAACCCAGTTGACATGTGTGCACATATATTAATTCATATCCACATATTAACCATATCTAAAAGCATAGACAGCTTTTAGATTGCATTGGATCTGCAACATTTCAATAGACAGAGATGTACTGTGTGTGCATTAAATTTCCTTTTCTAGAGAGAAAATAAAAACCAAGATCAATTGAAAAATTTATTTGTTCTTGCTAATATGGGAGGAGACAGAATAGCCACTACAGAGCAAAGATACTAGTGAATTTTTTTAGAATTGGGCCTATAAACTACTTTAATCCTCCAAAGAACACAAACCCACATTTAACTTCAGCAGTTGCACTGACACAAGTGAAGCTACTCACAGACTAAAAGATAAAGGAATATATTCTTTTACAGGGATTACAAAAAGCTGTGCTTATCTCAAATGATTTTTTTGGGAGCATCTGATCTTTTTATTAGGATGGAAGCAGATTTGAAATCAACATTAGAAATCTAGAATCAAATGCAAATTGGCCCAATTTTATTCCATGAAAAACACAAAAAAATCAATTCTTAGGTATTTCTTATTTGACTGAAATTGAAATAATACAGAATATGGGTTTCATAACTAGTCACCTCAAATGAAAAAGGGAGAAGATAACAGAATCTAGATACTCCAACTATCAGAAAAGATAACCTTAGATGAAACTGTATCTTCTCTACTTATTCAATCTGCAACTCCACTTTGCACAATCTGCTTATTCAACCTTAGTCTACCATTTTAGACACCTATAATTTCACAATGGCTGGTTTGAATATATTTTTCAAATAAAAAAGATCTACCAGAAGCTCTGCAAATCATATACTTTGAAGAAACAAAAATGGCCATCTGCTCTGAGTTAACAGCAATGACTAACATTTTCTATCAAGGCGTACCATTTCAGATCACTCCAGTGTGAATGCTAATTAAAATTAATTACATGTGTCTCTGAAGATCTTTTTTTCGTAATA